TCTGTTATCTCAGCTGTATCTCAACTCTCCTTAGCTTCTCTATATATAGAGATTACAAATGCAAGAGGAACCCTTTGAAATGAGCTGGCTGCCAGCCCATTGTTGTGCTTTCGGTGGCTTTACAGATTGAAGCTTCACATGGCTTCTCATGGCCCCATGGCCAACTCACATGGCCTCATGGCTTCCCCACCATGTAGCTGGCTAACATGGCCAGAATCTGTAGCCAATATTCAACAACCTCAACACACTGTCGTCAAATGTTTTCAAAAGCAAAAACAAAAACAAAAAAAAAATTATATCAGGAAATAGAAATCAAACTGGTAAATGTTGAATGTTCATTTGGAAGGAAGTACATCAAAAACTAGGTTCATTTTTAGCAACCACGAGGAAGGCAAGTAATGTTCATTTCCTTTTGTCTTGAAGTCAAAGATTTATATATATATATATATATATATACTAGTGAAATGCCGCGTGCAAAGCACGCTAACTAATGGCCAGTTAGTGCCCATTACATTTGTGTATTTAAATGAGTTTTGAGCTATTGCATAAACACACAAAATTAGCAACTCAATCATGAATATAAGACCGACTCAACAATACAAAGTTTTTAACAAAAACTATTACTTATACAAAAATAAAAAATAAAAAAACCTATTGCAAGATCTATTTTCCCAACAAAATTGTCATTCTTAAAAATATGATGTAATAAAAATAAAGCAATTGTTTTCTCTATTTGACAAATGAACAAGTACTCAATCATCCTTAATGGCAGGACTTGAAATCCCTCATCAATTGTGAATTCACTTTTACTTGGTATATTATGAGTAAGATGAGCCAAACCATGCTTGTATGTAATGCTGTGAGACCTACCACATCATCTCCTCCATGAATTGAATTTTCTATTAAATCCTCAGCCAGAGTTCACTACAACAAGTTGGGTCTTAAATGACGATTTTTTTTTGTCTCCAAAGAGCTAATTTCGTCACTATAGATATTTGTGACGAAATATTTTCGTCACCAGTTTCGTCATTGAATGTTTGTCACTAAAAACCACTATGACGAAAAATAATTTCGTCACCAATGAAATTAGTTCAGTGACGAAATTTTTTGTCACCAATAAAACAAGATTTTGTCTCAAAAAATTCTCATTTTCGTCACTAAATAATTATTCAGTACCATATTTATAGTTTTAGTTGACGAATAAATTTGTCACAAATGTTAATCATTGATGAGGAAATAATTTCGTCACGGTAAGATGTAAAGGTGACGAAATTTTTCGTCTCCAAAAGTCATACATGGGTGACGAAATATATTTCGTCGCAAATATATTTATATACGTGACGAAATTTTTAGTCACCAAACAACAAAATCAATGAAAATTTTTTGTCACAAAAAATATTTATTAGCGACGAATAATTAATTTGTCATAATAACAAGTACAAATGACAAAAAAAAAATTGTCACTAAACTTGTTCCATATTTTATATTTCAATTTCAATTAGTAGCCTTTTAAATGTACTAAGAAATCCATTAGCTATTATACATCACTCCACAAAAAAATTCACTTAAAAATTTATATTATAAATCAAAATATATCCATCAAACAAATTTAATAATAATCCATTAACTATAACAAAAAAACCATCCACAAAAAAAAATCAACACTCGATCTTGATTTGCAACTACAACTAAGTATCAGTTCAAGAAAAAAAAATTCAACACTTGATCTTGATTTGCAAGTATGCTTCCAAACGTCATCAAAAACCAATCTGCAAAGAAAATAAACAAGAAAAACATTAACATTGTATAGACCTCTCTATCCATGTCAATACAAATTGTGTACACAATAAGTCTAGCTTAAAAAGCAGATAACATGATACAGAAAGAAAACCCACAATATGCCACATTGAGTTTCTAAAGCAGTCAATTTAAGTACTCAAATATTCAAATGCAAAATCTTATGATTGAACGGACATATTTGGAAAAATATATATATATATATATATATGCCCTGAATACCAAAGTTGACACACCTATCAACTAAATTGGGATATTGAAAAAAGAATACATTGGGAAACAATAAATAATCTAGCTCACATTGCACTCAGTAAAAAAAAAATGTGATTAAATTCTGCAGAGGAACTTAATAATGTACATAAGGAGCTATGGATATAAGAAATGAACGATGCCAATAGAATTGATAGCCACATCTGACAATTCCAATGAATGCCCGAGACTAAAATGTAGTACTTATGGCATGTTAATGCAGTTCGTACTTTGTTTGATTTTCTCTTTACTCAACCATATACGAAGTCCAGAGAAGTTAAAGCAACATACGCTAATTTAAGGGTGTAATATTCCAATTTTCATTAAATATATATATCTCATTGCCAAAAAGAGTGTTTCCTCTCTTATCAAATGCAGTGATAATTATAATTTATAATTCTCTATTATAAGCAGTAAATGGGCAGATATAGGGTCCTGATTACCAATTCACCATAAACTCATTTTCCCAATCTATCGTGTGGGTTGTCCAAGTTTGAGGATGTTTGTGATGGTAAACTCTGCTAAACATTTGTATTATACATTCCACATTGATGCAGAGAATAAAGAATGTTGTGGGTGATCAAAGAACAAAGGTGGGTATATAAACATAAGGATGGATATGTTATGAATACTGGATCAATCAATATTGCATGTCGTGTAAACTCTTAATTGATGGGTTCAATACTTTGTGCCACATCAAAGTCTATGTTAGCATCCTTAATTCATGGTACTTATGTTGTAAAATAATTTTATAAATTCTAAAAATCACGGTCCCTGATCATGATCCACAAGGACTTTAATGAACATTTCCTAGTTTGTGTCGAGAAAACTTAATCTACACAATCTTTTCTCAGGTCCATAACCATAAGTGCCAGAAACAATGTGATTATAGAATTACAGTGATTGTTTCTTTATCGTGTGGTTACCTGTTCAGAAGATCCTTTGCTGGCCCGATACCAGTTGCCATCAGAATCAATGTACGTAATTGCAGTGCATTTGTCCACTGGATTAAAAGGAAGGAAATGCACTTCTGTGATGTTTGCACGTGCCTGTAGACAAAAATATTTTTCCTTTCTTGAATAACCTACAAGTGAAAAGAAAAGAAAGAAAAAAACTAGAAACTTGAGAGCAATATATTTTTCCTCTGACCTCCTTTGGATCAGCAAGCATGTTAACAATGGCTATATCAATCGCATCATGATGCTCTAATCTTGATGCTATGGCAGAAAGCAAGACAATCATGTCTTTGTCCATATCTTTGTTAAAAACGTATAGAAGAAATTTATCATCAAGTATGTATTAGCTTAGGGAAAATGAGACTTGATGAAGTCAGCTTTCCATACCTCAATAAGGTTTTGATCGATAGTGAGGCGATTCAGGGTAAGAGTTTTAGTTTTATCACTACGGAGGACATCCATTCCAGCCATTTCTTCAATTGCTGTCATCCTCTTCATAATGGCGCCCTTCAGGTAACAGAAGGAAAAAAAGGGAAAAATTAAAAGAATAAAGAGTTGTTATGTAGTTAGCATTGAAATTTGAGCTTAAGATTCTTCTGTTATGGCTCTTACATGAATTATTTTGAGTTTGTATTAATTATTTGTGTGTGACAAACAATGGTGCCTCAATTAGGAGCTGTACCTGTTGAGAGAGTCGATGAGAACCAATTGCGAGTGTGACAGATAATACTGTTGGCATAGCTATAGGTATTCTTCCAATCAATAGAACAAGAAGGTTATTGATTCCATCTCTGTATGAACGGAGCTGTATGGGGTACATGACAATGATTTCTAGAATCATCCCCACAACTATAAAAACAAATGCAGAAATTCCCAATGGCAGTAAGAACCTGCAGGAAAAACATTTTACATTTCTCACAATGTTTGCCAACAAGGTTTTGTTTGAAATTTTGCTGGAAACTTCAATTCTCTCATAACTTATTTATATTCAAGGAGTTTTAATTGTTAACAAGTTTTAGGTTGCCTTGTCCTGGTGTGAAATTTCTTGCATTTTACATAGTCTTAAATTACTTATGGAACTCTACTCCATGTTGCAGTATTTCTCAGTTGCCATGTACAAGGCAAGAGGCATAGCTTAACAATGATAGATTTCTTAATCACCTTCTGGAAATGACCAATACTTTCAGTGGAATCAACTAGATGTGCAGCTTTTCCAAAGAAAGAGTGAACTCCAGTTGCTATCACTACAGCTTCAATCTCACCTTGCTTACATGTTGAACCAGAAAAGACTTCATCACCTATCCTCTTGGTGATAGGAAGTGATTCTCCAGTAAGAGCCCACTGCACAAAAAAAAAAAATAAATAAATAAAATAAAATAAAAAATAAAAATAAAAATCAGATAGTAATACCACTTAACCAATCGTATAAAATTTATTTAGAATAGACAAATAAATGTGAAAGGCTACATTGGTTTAGTGCCAATAAAATGTGAAAGGCTTGTATGTATGAGATAAAAATTGATTCTCATTTAGTACAGACATAAAGAAGATTCTCATAGGATCCATGATCATGTTGAAAAGTTTGCAACTTAGCATCTACATGACATCGTGAAAAAGAGGATCCTCATAGCATTGGTGATCATGATGAACAGTTTGCAGCTACATCATATGGTCATGGTGTAAAAAACAACTAGAGTTGTTACCATTGCAACTCTTCAATCATGTATGCGCAACCAAGATAATAAAGATTAAAAAGAACACGATTGATAAAAAAGGAAAATGAATGAACATGTCCACCAAGTTCTTCAAATAGTTTATAGCAAATCTAGTTCACTCTAGACTTGGGAAAAGCCTCGAATTCCCAAGTTCAAAAGCAACTAAAGATCCCTCATATCTTCTAGCTGACAAGAGCTTGCATAAGGAAACAAAATTGCAGTTTCTGCACCAAAACCTAATAAAATTAAGTCCGAACTATACCATTATTGATTAAAAAGGGAAAAAAGCATTACATAGTTGACTTCAATACAAGTAACCATTGGCAAATGACAGTAAAGTAAGAAATTCGAGTTCCCTATTATCTCATTAAGTAGCTGAATCCAAAAATAGAATAAATTTTAGACAGCAAAATGATGTTTCACCCTATATGAAAAACAACTATACCACGTAAACCAAGATTATGCTAGGCACAAAATTCTGCTAAAGCTATAAAGGTTAGGATCAGTTGATACCAAAAAATTAAAATAATCATGTGTAAGGGAGAGATATTACTGACATGATAGAATGGTGGTGAACTGTTCACTCCCCGTCCTTTAGAACAGCAGCAGAAACAGCCTCTCATTTCTATTCAGTTATCTCTATTGTCCACCAAAAGCTATCAGCAATTTAGTCATCATGTTCCCTCTGTTTGGCATAAGAAAATGAATGCTTAATTGTGTGGTGTATACCCATTTCGATTCAGTGGATATGGGTTCTGATACACAGTTCTTGTACCAAAAATTTGTTCTCTTTGTCGACATTTTCTACTTCTCTGTCTCCACCTACTTTTTTCCTCTTTTCGATTTCTTTAAGAGATACCTTATCAGGTATTTCAAAACTCTTGTCTTCAATTTTCTTTTTCTATTTTTATGGTAATTAAAAAATCTTACTTGTTTTAAAATCTTGCGTTGTTTCTGATTTTTTTGTTTGTTGCAGATTCAAAAGAAATGACAGGTCATCAGCGGACAATTTAAACTAATCGGAGGTTTCTTCTGCAGAAAACAGTCTTAAAGATTCGATTCCTATTGAGCCAAAAACAGAGTTACAACCATGGATATACAGGGGTCGAATCCAAACAAGAAGACAAATAAATTTTCGGATGGGTTTGACCAAAAACAGACACCCGAGTTCTCTTTCAAATTCAAGTTTCCAACTTTTGAAGAATTCAATCAGAATAGGAAAGAAAATGGGGGTTCTTCAGCTTTGAAGCAGCCCCAGATACGAGCATCGCTAAGTACAAGTTCAAGCATGTTGTCAAATGTTCTAGTGTATATATATATATATAACAACAGCAACAACAGCCTCTCACAACGAAAGGAAGGGAAGAGAGATGAGATGAGTGCCTTACCGTCGAACTAGTCTTGCCACCGAAGATATGAGTGCACCGTTTGCCTTTCACAGCAATTGATTTTGATCCTCTCTCTATTTTGAGTGCATCGTTCGGCTGTGATCCTCTCTCTATTTTGGGACACTGCCGTAAAGCTTTGAAGAACCTAGAAAGGGCTTCAGGACCACTGTGTTCGCCTTCAATCACCACAGCTATTCGGTTAATTAGCAGTCAATCAAAACAAGGTTTAAAGAACCCCTTTCCCCTTCCAACGAATTTTGGAACCCTATTTCTTGTCTCTCTCTTTCTTCTACGTTACTTTATCATTATAACCCACTAGAACCAAAGAGGCAAGAGTCAGTGTATCTTGTTAATTAAACAACAATAAAGGGATAAAAGAATTGTAAATGCCACAATAGCACTGAAAAGAGCGAAAAATCCATATTCATGGCTTTAATAACCCAAATACACATATTGGCGATCCCTAATCGAGATACATAAAATACATTTTAACATATTGGCAATCCCTAATTGAGGTACATAAAATACATTTATCTAGAATTTATATGTGCCCTTGATCTTTATTTTTTTAGTAAATTTGTTACATTTAATATTTCCCATTAATTGCATATAAGGAAAATAACATGAACGAGTTATTAACTTAACAAATCTATATTCAAGCACTCATTTTTTCATAACTAGTCTGAAGAAATAATATATGGGACACTATGCGTCTTAGTAGTTTTCAAAATTAGGGAAAATAATGAAATTAGTTTTGAAAATTAGGAAAAACAAAGATTGAAAAAAAGAGAAATTGAGTGAGAGAGAGAGAGAGAGAGAGAGAGAGAGAGAGAGGGGATCTATACTTGAAAAGAGAAAAATAGAGAAATAATCGAATAAGCGACGTCGACGGCACTAACGATTGCTCGGAAGAGAGCACGGGTGACATCGGTGGCGGCACTGGAGGAGGAGAACGGGTGACGTTGGTGGCGGCACTGAAGGAGGAGAAGGGGGGCTAAAGGCAGAGAACATGTGTTTTGCAAGAGAGGGATGAGAAGAAAACTGAAGCCCCAAAAAAAAAAGGAGGGGAATTAGTAGGTTTTTTTTTTTTATTGCCGCCAATATCACAAAGTTCTCCCTCCAAAATTGGTGATAAAATAATTTTCTCCCCCAAAATTTTAAAATGTTAAAATTATTGATGAAAAAAATATATTTTTCATCAAATAGTTTCAAAATATTTAAAATCAATTTTTTCAAAAAAAAATATTTAAAACTATTGGTGACAAAAATATATTTCTCACTAATAATTTTATAATTGGTGACAAATTTTGTTCTCACCAAAAATCTCAAAATTTTGGCGCCACCCAAAAAAATAGAGGAAAAACCTATGGTGACGAAATTTAATTTTTCCTCACCTAAAAAGAAGTATTTATTGACGAAAATAAATTTCGTTACCTATTATTTTTACTTTTTTATTATATGTGACAAAATTTTATAATTCGTCATGGATTATTCTTATTTAGTAACGAAATTTATTTTCTTCACTACTTTCATCACCAAAAGTTACTTAGAGAGCTAATTAACTTGTGTTTTGTTTTAAGAGAGAGAGAGAGAGAGAGAAAGAAGGGATAAACAATAAAGAGGGGGGGAGGGGAGAGAAAAAGTTAGTAGTCTATTTTTTTCATTACCGCCCAATATGTCAAAACTTGTCCTTCCAAAATTAGTGACAAAATAATTTCCTCACTAAAAAGCCTCAAAATATTAAAAATTATTAGTGATAAAATTATAGTTCTCACCAAATGGTCTTAAAATATTTAAATCAAATTTCTCAAATATATATATAATTATTGGTGACGAAAATATATTCCTCACTAATAATTTTATAATTGGTGACAAATTTTTTTGTCACCAAAAGTCACAAAATTTTGGCACCACCAAAAAAAAATTAACGGAAAAACCTTTGGTGACGAAACTTAATTTTTCCTCACTTAAAAAGAAGTATTTGTTGACGAAAATAAATTTCGTCACCTATTATTTTTATTTTTTTATTATATGTGACAAAATTTTGTAATTCGTCACGAATTATTCTTATTTAGTGACGAAATTTATTTTCTTCACTACTTTTCGTCACCATAGGTTACTTTTGTTGTTGTGGTTGCTCTGCATTATATTTGTTAGAAAGAAATATCTAGTTTTCATAATTTAGCATTTCAAATCAAATACAACCTTTTAGATCCCATCAACTCCTTCAATCTAAATGTATACCAAATGGATCACGATCATGTGAATAATCAAACATGATTTGTTTGCAAAACTTTTATTCTACTTGTTTAAAGCATAAAAAAAAAAAATTAAAAACAATAATAGAAAGGTTATCAGCCCTTCTTATTTAATAGTTTAATGGGGACAAAAAAAAAATTAAAAAAACAATACAAAGGTAGACCATAATAACTATTATCAAACATCCTTATTTGCATGGATTGGAGATAAGATAAGTAGCTAATCATCTACTTGAAAAGAAGGAAATAGAGAACATACCTACAAGCAAATTCTTACGAGGGTTAGATTCAAATCATTGTGTTTTATGCAGTTCAAACACAGCGCATGCATGCAAATTAAATCATTCAAAATTCAAAGAGAAAATTAATCAGCAAGATGGTGCAAATTACATAGCGAGGGAATTTCACATCTAAAAGCTAGACCAAACCCACAAGCTTAGTTTTTTAAGCCTTTCATATTTGATAATTAGCTTTTGGTAACATTTCTTGTTTGCTATTAGATGTTTTTAGCAACTTGCATTCACTAAATTGGATCACAGATGGTCATTCCACAACATCAGTTCTAGATTAACAAGAAGCAGAAGTAATGTTGGATTCTATCATAGTAGCGTTTTCTTTAATATTTGAAATAGATTTTGAGTGCATGAATGCAAGTGATGTTTTAGGTTAGGTTTAATGATCATACTGGACTACAAAGTACAGGTACAACAATTCTAATGATCTAATTAATTAGTTAGAACCTTCGTTTAAAAATAGATCTTTTACAACATGTGAAAGGAGTTTTTTCTATCCAATCGAAATTTTTTGACAAGTTCCAACTCTTCAGGGAAAATTTGAGTCTAAAGTTGGGGGATGGCAAGAATATTAATTTCTGGAAGGACAAATGGCTTGATGAGAGACCCTAGTTGCATAAACTTTCAGATAATAAGGATGGAAATGTGGCTAATCTTCTCCGCCCAGGTGATCATAATGGTTCTTCGCAACTTAATTTTAGAAGAGCTTTTTTGGTATAGGAAGAAGAGGACTTTTCAAACTTGTTACCTTAATGTTGTGTTTGGAGCATGGATTTGGGTAGGGATTTGAAAAGGAAAAGGGAAAGGGAAAAGGAAAAGAGAAAGGTGAGTGAAATGTAACTATATTTCATTCGCATTTTATCTACATTTTCGCTTTCCTTTCCAAATCTCTACCTAAATTCATGATCAACACTGCCTAAGAGATAGGTGTTCGGTCTTGAAACAAGATTATGGGTGTGCTCTATTATGCTATGGGAAGCATTGTAGGAATCTTTTAAACATTGGAGTTTTTTTGGTTAAGTGCAGCAAGGATTTGGGAATTTTTTCCGCATCAATTGTTGCTGGTGTTTTGTTTGCAATATTTGCTACTTGCGTTATTTGGCTTTGTTTTGGTTCTTGTTTGGTGTTGCTCCCAATTTTGATTGGGATTTGTTCCCTTTCTTTAGCCTTGGCCTTTTGTCTCCACTGACGTATTCATTTGTACACCTTGTACCTTTGTTTGACATCAATATATTTTATTTTTGCCGATTAAAAAAAAATCTAGAAACTGCATAAGCTTCTTTTGCACTTCTAGTATCAGGAGGAAGGACAAGAAATAAATCTCACATTACTAATTTACTTTTATTAAAAACAAAGAAAAAGAATTATGAAATAAAAATGAAATGAAACAATAAAAGTAAAAATGGTTGTTAGCAACAACACTTACATTCAAACTGACAAAAGCAACAAAACCCACCATATAATGCAAAGAATGTACATTTCAATAAGAGGTCTTCAATCTCATTAAATAAACAACCATGCAAAGTATGCAATGTCAAATGAATTGAGTATCAAATGTTGAATCATTTATCACAGAGAAGGTTCCTGCCCATTTTTGGCTCTTGTACATGAGAATAAATTTGCAAAAGAATTGCGATTAATATTGGATATTAAAGATGATAATTTGAAGAATTCTTTTCAAAATGAATTTTTTTAGTTGACTGGAAAAAGAATCTTAGACTTGTTCATAATAATAATTATGAATGAAGAATAGTGTATTCCTCTATTATATAAACACCTAACATGCAAAAGGTAGTAATATTAAGCCTCACAAACAACAAGGGAAATTGAAGGACTGTATTATATATATTGTTAGGAGGCTTCACAATTGTTAACAAAAAATACACATTATCTACATACACAAATGAAAAAAAAAAAAAAAAAATGAAGCAAGTAACAAAATCTACTAAAGATAATAGAGGAAATTATAAAACTTATTACAAACTCACATCACAAAGAATCATGAAACCACTAAATATGAAGCAACCCATTGGCCAAGACTCCAACGGCTATGTGTAGTTTTCCTCACATTTCTATTTAACCCTCCATAGTGGCCCAAGGCACTGAGCCCCAATCAAATTAAAACATGATTCATACTAATGTGTTATAATTCTCTTTTATGAATGAAACTCAAATAAAAGTCATTTCCAAACCTAGGGAAACAAAAGCAAAAAAAGCAATGAAGAGAAAAGATTGGAGCTTTAACCATTCAAATTGACGTTTAAAAGTGATCTTAAGAAATAGTTGAGGTTTATTGAACTTTTCACACAAATGATATATTTTTCAATTTAATCAAAGGAATAAAATTAGTAATAAATTTTAAAAAAAAAAGTATGGCAACTTTTTGTAATCCCATTTCACAAAAGACACCTAATGAGGCAAAGAAAACCATTGGCCAAAAAATTTTCTCTACTTTCACTGGTATTCATTTCACCCATCAATTGATCACTATGATCCACAGTTTCTATTTTACATTCTGATCTTCTCTCTCTACTCTATCTTTCTCTACAGACCATCACATACCTATATATTTTTCTTCTTTCTCTACTCTTTTTTCTTTCCACACTCTTTACCGGCCATCACTCACCTCTCTATTTTTCTTTTTCTCTTTTCTCTTCCACATCTCTTGAAGAACCTATTACTCACCATGAGGGATCTTCACATCATCAAAAGTCATAACATAATCGTAAAATTTCCTAAATCACCCAATTCAATTTTCCATGTAAAGCCTTGCAATGGACACACTACCAAGCAATACTCACAAAACTTCGACACACTATGTTCTACAAAACAATTTGCAAAAGCTAAGCACTTCCACACATCACTGGAACAACTAC